TCCTCAGCAAACCCTGCAAACCCTGCTGGGCAGGGGTTCTGTGTCCTTCTCAGCAAACCCTGCAAACCCTGCTGGGCAGGGGCTCCATGTTCTCCTCAGCAAACTCTGCAAACCCTGCTGGGCAGGGGCTCCGTGCCCTGCTGCCATCCCTGGGATCAGGGCCGTGACAGCTGGATGAGGAATGCTTGATTTGGCTGCTACCACAGCACAATCCCAGCTGGCACTTCAGCCAGCACAAGGAAAAGGTAATCTCTGACTACCAGTGCACTGAATGCTGCTTTCCCCTTTCCTTTTCAGCAAGGAAGATGCTCCAGGATTCATGGGACAGATTCTGAGGGGCGCCAGTAGATCCCGACCATGATCCTGGACCTGGCCAGCGCCTTGTACAGGAGACCCCTGAAATGGATTTTCCTGTGGCTGCTGGTGTTTGCCCTGACAACCATGTGGTACATAACCTTCTCCTCCAGGGCTGGCCTGGAGAACCTCAACCCTCTGTACTTCTACGAGCACGAGCCCGTGTACCGGCGGCCGCGCCCGTTCACGCTGCGCGAGCGCCCGCGCTGCGCCGACCTCCGCCCCTTCCTGGTCATCCTGGTGGCTTCCAGCCCCGGCGACCTGAAAGCCAGGCAGGCCATCAGGATCACGTGGGGCTCCCGGGATTCCTGGTGGGGCCAGCACATCCTCACCCTGTTCCTGCTGGGGCAGGACACGCAGAGGGAGGACAGGGCGGCGGCGCTGGCGGTGGAGGACGAGAGCATCCTCTACGGGGACATCATCCGCCAGGATTTCGTGGACACTTACGACAACCTCACCCTGAAGACCATCATGGCGTTCCAGTGGCTCGCCGAGTTCTGTTCCAACGCCAGGTTCTTCATGAAGACCGACGCCGACGTCTTCATCAACACTCCCAACCTGGTGAAGTTCCTGCTGCAGCTGAATTCCTCGGAGAACGTTTTCACCGGCTACCCCCTCATCGAGAACTTCGCCTACAGAGGCTTTGACAGGAAAAGGTACATCTCCTACCAGGAGTACCCCTTCAAGCTGTATCCTCCCTACTGCAGCGGCCTGGGCTACATCCTGGATGGAAAACTGGCTCTGAGGACTTACGAGCTGATGGGCCACGTCAAGCCTCTGAAATTCGAGGATGTTTATGTGGGAATTTGCGTAAATATCCTCCAAGTCAACATCACCATTCCGGAAGATGCGGAACAATTCTTTCTCTATAAAATCAACTTCGATATCTGCAAGTACAGACATTTGATTGCAGTTCATGGCCTTACATCAAGCGAACTGGTCCAGTTTTGGCAGGATTTGTCATCCAGCACTTCAGAAACTTGCCTTTGATGGTGGATTTATTTAGAAATTTCAGTTTGCTGTAAGAGTGGCCTCTGGAGATGAACTCTGACTGCAGGGGCAGCGTTTCTCTGGGGCATTCCAGTGCTCTTCAGTGAAAACAGGGGCACAAAGCACTTTTCCAGGTGTGCATCCCACACCCAGAGGGTGCCTTGGAATGCTGTGTCCCTCTGCCTCTGAGCAGCCCTGGGATTTCTCCCTGAATCTTCTGGAATGCAACAGATTCCACCGAGGAAAGGCATTTCTTTTCAGAAAGCAGCTTGGAGGATTCTTCCTGAATTCCTGCCCGGACTGGTTTTATTGCTTTATAGCCACTCTCCTTTGTTTGTTCTCAGCGTGGAATTTAACCCAACCCAACGCTTTTGTTTTTTTGATGTGCAGTCCTGAGACTGTCACACCTCGTTATTGAAATATGTTACCTCCACAAGGCTTCCAGGAGTGTTCCCAGCCTGGGGATCCTGTGGGATCTGCAGGAGCTGGTGAGAAATGCTGGAAATGTGAAGCACTTTGTGTGTCCATATTAAACTTGGGTGTTTCTCTTGGGTGTTCCCAGAGCGGGGAGATGGAGCGGAGCTCACGATCAATTTGGACATCCCAAAAACATTGGGATCATCGATCCCCCCACCCCTCTGTGTGTGTGAGATGCATCCGAGGAGTTTTGGAACCCTGTTGTGATTTATGCCTGTTTCTAAACGAGTTTTTTGGTTCCAGTTTTAAAATTGGGAAAAGGAAGAAATTCCCCCGTTGCTACTTTAAAGGAGACCCAACTCCTCCCTGTGTGTAAAGACCGTTTTTTTAATCACTTTATTCATATCAGCAAGGCCCAGTTTTCAGTAGTTTACACTTCTAATGGACAACGATACAGGATTTGCAGTTGCATGAACAGAATTAACCTGGACACATCCACTACACGGGGGAGGGACTGGGGAGACGTCCTGGCCACGCTCCCAGGGCTTCCCCACAGCCCTGGTGGCTCCCAGGGACAGAGCTCAGGGTGCCCAGGGCTGAGGGGTGCCTCCAGCACCCAAGGGACACCGCTGGCTTCTGCTCTGCTCCACAGCTGCTCCCGGGGCTGGGGTGCAATTTCAGGAGGGGCTCGTGTGGTTTTTTTAGGGATGAAAAAGTTTTGGGGACAACACTCTCCAGACAAGGGTTTCAGATGTCAGTGTTCTGATGGTGAAAAGGTCAAAGCTTTTAAAAATTAAAGGTTTTTTTTTTTTTTTTTTTTTTTTGTGGGGAGGGGATACAGTATTGCATAACTGAGGGAATGATGCTCTTGTATTCCGAGATCCAGGTGAAATTCCAGCTGTGCTGTGGCTTTAGGAACTGGGGTTTGGTTGTTCTCTGGGAGAATTGCCTTGTTCTGTGGTTGTTTCACACCTCAAACCCCAAACCCCTCCGCTCTTCTCTCAGCCTGCCGCGTGAAATGCTTCGAAATAAATTATTTACCACAAGATCACTGACACTACAGCACAGCTTGTATTGCTTTCTTTCCAAAATAAAAATGCAATCGTGGCTCTGCTGCCTTCAGAAAATGGATAAAGCAGAGAGTGCTCGTGGTGAGGGAGGAATGAGAGTCCTGGGGAGGTGAGGATGGCCAGAAATTCTCCTGCCACCTGCAGGAATTTGGGGTTTTGGTGCCCCAAATGCTGACACTGCTCACAGGTTCCAAGGCTTAGGTTTATACACAGTGATCTCTTTGTGCCACCTGAAGTTAATTATCATTTACAGTGCCAGCAGCATTGGAAAAACATCCATCCTGCTCCTGGTTTTCCTAAAAAAAAAACAAGCAACCTCATTTCCAAATCTGGCTTGTATATGATTCTGACTTTATTATTGCTTAAAAGGCTGTGAAATTCCAAACTGAGCTCCTGTCTCTGCTCAGAGCCATTCTTAGGGAGGTTTTTGGTGTGAGCAGCCTGGCAAAAGGTGAAAAACCTTAAAAGTACAAAATGATCTGGGCACTGAAGTGGGGGTGGGCTGGTGGCAAATTTTTATTGCATCTGCCTAGAATATTGTACTAAAAACAAAGTGTAAAACACAGACTAAAGGTTTCCCAATTTCTTCTCATGCAGCTGTATGAAATCAGAATTCGAAATATTTGTGGTTTTTATAGGAAAACTCTGGGGTTTCCTGACACAGAAAGTCTAACAATAATAATAAAAATAATATTAATAATAATAATATTAATAATAATAATTAATTGGGCAAAGATGTTTGGAAGTTGCTGCTGGGTAGGGAGCACAAGTGGGTTCCAAGGTGAAATTCCCAGTCTGGCTGTTATTTCAGGGGAGTTAAAATGCTGCAATGCTCTGTGTGCATCCTGGCACAAAGAAATTCCCCATAAATCAGAAGGGAGATGTAGGGGCAGCACTCCCTGTGCTCAGTACAATAGGAGTTTTGGGATATTTCCCTAAATTTTGCCTCACATTTATGGATGATTGGTGTCAGAGAAGCTGCCTGTGTCCATGGATGCAATCCAGATTTATCCACCTGCTCCCCTAAGCCTTGTCCAGTCAGCGCTGGAAAATTAAAAGTAACAAAAATTCAGCTCATTATGAATTATCTGTACATTATTTTTTTTTCTCTGGGAGTTTTGGAAAGGCCGTTTAGGAATATTTTGGGCACAAGGGGCAGCAGCTCTGGGCTCTGCAGTGGCCAAATTCCAGCAGAACATTCTCACTTGGAATTTTGTTCAGAGGCCTAAAATCCTACTTGGGGGGGATGAAAGGCTGGTGAGGTGTTTTTTCTGTAGTATAATCACTGACTAAATGCTTCTCTGTGTAAAACAAGTATCAGCTACATTAGCAATAAATCCATATTCTTTAAAGCAGGGCTGTCCCGTATCCTGAGACACAAAATTCCCTTTTTTTTTGTTTTTTTGAGGCTGTGGCATTGGTGTTTCTGCAGCCAACACTGCTCAAGCTGATGCAGCACTTTTAATTCTGCCTCCTGGATTCTAAAACCTTCACAATATTTTTAATTTCACCGCTGGGAATGGTTTAACCCTGCGAGAACAGCAGCAGTGGGAGTTGGAATCTATCTGCTGTGGGGTTTGTGGGAATGTCTCGGGCCAGCAGAAGGAGCCACGGGGCCACCGAGCCAGGGACAGCCCCGGCCCTGCCAGGAATTCCAGAAGGATCCCAGGGATGGATGAACTCCTCAGCAATCCCTGCTGCAGGCTGAGGGAATCATCAGAGCATCCCAGGGAGTGAGCTGGGAGCTGGGACATCCCTGGGAACAGCCCAGTTCAGGAACTGCCCAGTTTGGGAATATCCCAGTTTGGGAACAGCCCAGTTTGGGAACAGCCCAGTTTGGGAAAAGCCCAGTTTGGGAAAAGCCCAATTCCCCAGCACTGGCAGCTGGGACGTCCCTGGGAACAGATGAATTTGGGAACAGCCCAGTTCAAGAACAGCCCAGTTTGGGAACAGCCCAGTTTGGGAACATCCCAGTTTGGGAACATCCCAATTTGGGAACAGCCCAATTTGGGAACATCCCAATTTGGGAACATCCCAATTTGGGAACACCCCAGTTCAGGAATATCCTAATTTGGGAACATCCCAATTTGGGAACAGCCCAGTTCCCATCCTGGCTCAGCACAGGCTCAGGGTCCATTTGTCACCTCCAGCCATCCATGGATGCTCTTTGGCAGCCACTCCCTGTGCCCTGAGGCTCCGGATGTCCCCATGGGATGAAGCCACCAAGCTGCCCTGGAGCTCCCAGCTGTGCCCAGGCAGCTCCCAGTTTTTGGGAGGAGAGCAGCAGCAAGGCTGGAGCCCTGCTGCCACATCCAGGGGGATGTTCCTCTACACATCCAGGGGGATGTTCCTGGCCACATCCAGGGGGATGTTCCTGTCCACATTCAGGGGGATGTTCCTTGCCACATCCATGGGGATGTTCCTGGCCACATTCATGGGGATGTTCCTGGCCACATCCATGGGGATGTTCCTAGCCACCTCCAGAGGGACATCCCTGGCCACCTCCAGAGGGACATCCCTGGCAGCCCTTCCCAGCTGGAGGATGCAGTGTTAAGGCAGTGGGAGAACCCTGCATTGGTCAGGTTGCATAAGCAATATGGACAATAGGAATTCATCCTGTCAGCCTCCAGCTGTGTCACGACAGAGTTTGGCACAAATCAGCACCACTGGAAAGTCGGAAAACGCCTTCACTTGGAGGGAAAACTTCCAAACCTTCCAGCTGGGAGCACAGGTAGGCACTGCACGTGGATGTGGGAGGGCACACAAAGCCTCTCACCTCCACCAGTCCTTCCTCTGTAAACCTGAAGCAGCTGAAGCTCCTTTTTTAAAGCAAATGAAGCAAAAACCCCCGGGCTGAGCAGAGACCCTTGGCATGGATGGCTCTGGCCAGGACAGCCCTGCCAGGGATGGGGAGAGGAAGCTGAAGGTGCTGAACAAGGGAACAAGGGGAACAGTGAAGGGGGCAGGGAAGGCAAACTCCACACCCTGAGCTCTGCCTGGAGCTGCTCCCCACTGCTGCTGGGCCGTTCCAGCCCAGGATCCAGCCCTGCCAGGGAATCATCGCCCAGGGGCTGCACTGGCAGCACTCTGACCTCAGCTACCTTTGCACGCTGAACAGCTGAAGGAATTATTCCCAA